CAGCCCCCCCAGCCGCACGCCACTGCTGCCAACCACCTCCCTGTCCCAGCAGCCACCGAGAGCCACCGCACCCCCCTCCTCACGCCAACGCCTGCCCCAGCTTACCCCCAGGACCACCAAGCTCAGCCCCGCGCCGGCCATTGCTTCGCAGCAGCAGCAGCAGCACCCAGCTGCTCGTGTCCCTTCCCTTGCCGCACGCCACCACCCAGCCATGCACCCCCTTCCCTCTGGTGCTACCAAGCGTACCCCAACTAACCACGCATCTCGCAGCCAGCCGCCGCCTAATTACCGTCCGCGTTCCTCTCGCGGACACCAGCACCCGCAGTCAGAGCTACTGTCTCCATCCTCCGGTGTCCAGCTCCCTCCACTCAGTGGCGGTTCACCAGCACCCCGGCTGCCATCTTCCTCTGTTGGCACCTCCACCCTGCATGCGTCCGCTCACACAGAGGCTACCCTGAGCCGCTGCTCCCTTTGCTTCCTCCCACAGCCTCCCCCATCGCGCAGCCCGCTACCCACCAACTAACCACCTTCTCCCTCACCAACGCTGTTACCTGCTCCCATCCACGTGCTGCCACAACAGGCTGTCCCAGCTGTTGGCCGTTCTCCTCCTGCAATGCTGCTCCGTACGCTCCCAGTCCCCTTTTTAGCATGGTTGTCCCCCCATCCCATCTCGTCCTCTGGAGTTGCAATCCACTCCCATCTTCTCTCAACCGAAAGCCACTTCTGCCCTTGGAAGCCCCAGGAGCTCCCAGGTGATGCTCCCACCCCACCCAGACTTGTGATTGTATTTCCATCTTCTCTCCTTTTAAAGGAGGGATATCACTAACTGGATAGAAAAACTAATTATCACGCTATTTGAAAGCCAGCCCTTGTTACCTACCTGCAAAGGACATATGTCTATGCAGCATCTCAAATGGTTGCTCTTTCCGTATCGTGGTTTCATAGAAAAATGAGCAGCTTCTCACAGTGTGCAGCATCATATGTTCCTGTTTCTATGGGAAGAGAATGTGGAAAATTGTAGTATGTGCCTGTGTGGGAAAGCCACCGTCAGTGAACACCGTGCCAGGGACAAAAGAAAGTTAAGGCCCGTGTCCTTAAAGGTGTTTGTACACCTTAATTCTCACAGCGCCTTCAGTGGGTTGCAAGCTTGTGTACAACGGCTAGACAACGAAGCCAAAACAGAGTAATGGGCATAAATGTACAGCATAAATGGTTGTACAAGACACTGTTGAACTGAGCATCAAGGGAAAGGAGCAAGTTGTCATTACGAACTAGTCTTTGGAGAAAAATCACTTACCGAGGCTGTGAAAGAGGCAAGCCAGTCCAGGATCTAGGATTAAAGACCACTTCTCCACCTCCTAAGTGAATCTCAAACTGACTCCCAGAAATATAGCTTGCTTATTTTACTAAAATGTGATATGGTACATGCTCCAGCCCGTGATGTTAGAGCGGCCCTCAGGATTTACATTGTGAGTCATAAATTCGTAGCGGCGTTGGCTGGAAGAGACATCAGGAGGTCTCTAGTTCAATGTCACCTAAAGCAGCGCTGCCAGCAGCACTAGGCTGGGTTAACTGCGGCTCTCTCTGGCCGTGTCCTGAAATCATCCAAGCCTGGAGATTCCCCCACCTGCCTGGGTAACCCGTGCTCACCTACACCTTCTGGAGGAGCTTTTTGCGCAACCTGAACCTCCAAGCTGTGGTTTGAGCCACTGCCCCTCGTTACACCCCAGTACCGAGAGCAGTTTGGCTTCGCAGCCGACCTTTACGTGGTAGTGGGCTGCTGCCAGGTGCCCCCTTTTCACCCAGCCAAACAAGCCCTGCTGCCCCAGCCTCCCCTTGTGCGTCGCGTGCCCCAGGACCTCGAGCATCTCGGTAGCCCTGTGCTGGCTCTCTCCAGTTTCTCCCCATCCCTCTTGAACTGGGGGGACCCCAAATTAAAACTTTATTCGAAGTGAGGCCCCAACAGTGCCAAATACAAGAGAAACAGTAATTTCCCTCTGTCCGCTGGTGACGCTTCTCCTCCTGTAGCCAGCATGCCACTTGTCCAATTTGTGGTGAGGTCGCGCTCTCAGCTCATACTCAACCATCTGACCTTTTTCTCTGGGCTCCTCATGTCCCCGTGTACCTGGTGAGATGCCTTCGTCGTCTCTTGTGGCTTAGCGTTGTTAACCATAACTGCGAACTTGCCAGGGAGATGAGTTAGAAAGGAGACTGTGTTAATGTGCATTCTGCTGCCTATCCGTACTTCACTCTAGCTTATTTAACAGTAGCTTCCAGGGTTTTAAGGAAGAAAAAGTGCACATTTTGGATAAAGTAGAAACAGATTATTCATCCCAGGTGATGCTCTTGGAAATATTTGTGGCGTAAGATAATCACGTATCAATTGATTCATCTTAAGGATGTGAGCCATCATGTTATTCCACTCAGGATTTACATTAAGCCTGGACTTCTGAATCTTAAGTTACTGTCTGAAGGTCATTTAATTGCCATGCTGGAAGTCAGACAAGCTGGAAGATACTAATCACTGGCTTTTTGATTGACAAATGACATGGCTACAGCAGCAAGCAACCCTGTCTGATAGCAACTGACTGCAGGAAAGGGCAGAGTAGGAATATAAACATTTTCTGCAAAATTATACACGAAATCTGAACTTTTTAAGAGGATAGGTGAGGGGGGCACTTACCCCAGGTGTGTAAACAGAACTTAAAAATCTTTATCTAAGAGATTTTATCTTATGACCGTTATACTCTTTCCACAGATCAGTCGCTGGGAACTGTCAGCAAGAACCAGAGGTTATCTTTATCAGTTTTAGATGTTCTGCCCTCTTTTTCTGTGGATTAATGACAAAAATTCTTGCAGATCCTTAAATTCTGTAGCAAATCACCTGGCAATTAGAGCATACAAGTGAGGTTCAGGTACCAAAATGCCTTTCAAAAACTGAGAACTAAATCACAGGCCCAGTTAGGGCTTTCTCTGCTCTGACGGAGAGGCCAGATCCAACTAACAGATGTAAGTTGACTCCAGCCTCATCTCCGCATTGCCTTGACTTAGACAACATCTTTAAGTACAGGGCATTCTGGTCCAATGTCTGTTACAAGTCAGCCTCCTATTATCCTACCCTATCCTATCCTATCCTATCCTGTCCTGTCCTGTCCTGTCCTATCCTGTCCTATCCTCCTAACTCCTGAAAATAGAACAAATATACAAAATGAGATATGTGGTCAGCGCATAGAAACAAATACTGAGATCATATTTTCATAAATATTTACTCTTTACGAACAAATTGGACAAATGGTAATTCATTTACTTAAGTATAGTTGGCATATGTCATTGGTTTATTTAACTTAACCAGTTAAATACACACAAAAAAATCACGTGTGCATGATTCAAAAGCTCAACACAAAATTAATTACAACTCTTGTCTTTTGAAAGTACCCCTAATGTTTCCAATCTGTAGTGAGGTTTGTGCTAGACTCCGTTCAGCTGTAGCCGTTCAGAACACTATTCAACAGTCTTGGGCAAGAATCCTGCATCTGGCTAAAAATGCTGGAGAAATTAGGTCTAGCGACAAAGTGTCCTTTGCAACTTACTGTGTCATTGAATTCAATATTTCTGGGGAACTGACCCCCCTACACTATCAAGTTGTTCTTCAAGTAAAGTGTATCAGCCAGTACAGCCATCCTCTGAACAGGCTGAATCTATACGTCGCACTGGAACACAGAGCCCTGGCCTGAATTCTCCCCTTCTCATTTGAACCCTGCTTGGGGTGACCATTTACAAGTTCAAAAATGGGTTCTGAGCAGAACAGAGATTAATTTGCACCTTTGATGTAAGAACCCACTGATGCAGAGACCTTGTATCAGCTGATTCTAGGCAGGGCAGAACTATACCATGGAATATACCGCCTCCATCAGGAAGGATGGTAGCGGGTGTGTAAAATATTTAATATAGCAGCTTTCCTCTCCATCAAATAGAAATCCCATCCAGGCTGTCAGATACCGTACTCCAGTTACTGCAGAATCCTTCTCTGGGGCCTCGACCGACGCAGTCCTGCCCTGATTATATCCATCCATTTCCGTTTCATCATTTTCTAATCCAGAATTACTCTTCCCCATGTAGCTCTTCACTGGCTCTTATCATGTTAAAAACGAGATCCCTCTCTTCATTTTCAAAAGCTTTCACATCCTACCCTACTTACCATCTGACATTCAAATACATTCCCAAATCCACTCAACTTGTAATGCCAGCCTCCACAGTCCGCTTGACTGATTTTCAAACCAGCATATTTCTAGGCCTTAAAATGTTACCTCTGCCTCCTTTAGCTATCCCTTGTCTCTTCTTTTACGCTTAGACAGTCGTTGGCCCCTGCACGCGTGCTGTGTTTCCGAGGTCACAGGGCAATTCTGCTCTGCAACCAAGAGGTCTGAACTCCACGACGTGAGCAGCAAGTACTTATCATTTGAGATTGAGCGTTAGAAAGCCAGCCCTTAGTTCATGCTTCTTACAGCACTGAGTTGCCACATCCAGCATACTCGTCTCCCGAATTTCAGTCAGCTGAAAGCTGGACACTGCTGAGCCAAGACTTCAGCAATTTTCTCCTGCACTTCTAGTTCCGAAGCAGGTCCGTAACATTCACAACATCTTCCTTTCGTCCCAATCAGTTCCTGTGACGGAACAAATCTACATTTTTCAAACACTAGGAGAGACACGATTAGGCAGCAAAATTCCTTTCGGAAGACTCTTTCTGCTCGTAAATCACAAAAGCATGACTCCCACAGCTGTTGTCTACCATAGTCCCCACATTATTCCTTTTAAAGTATAAAATCAAGGATAAGTTTGTATATTGCCCTGTTTACATCCCCCCAAAATGGCACCTAGTGATACATACGGGACGAAGCAAAGCTAGGATTTAACGTGATTCTTCAGCCTTGTATCTGAGTAGGGAACGTATCTCCAGGAAGAGAAGCCGTTGTAAAACTGAAGTAGCCATGGTCTGTGTTGCACTCTGGAGCCTGAAAGCTCATCTCCCAAAGCAAAAATCAACATAAACAGGCATGATTCACCATGGCATATATTTTATTATTTTTATTACTACTACATCTACTGTACCATAGTTTTCTTGTTCAGAGGAGCATATAAAGCACATAAAGCCACGGCACATAAAGCTGGTTTTAGAAGTAAAGCCAGTAGCTGTTATGAGGAAGTAAAGTAAAAAAAAAACCCACAAAACAAAAAACCAAAAAAAACCCCCAAACCAAACCTCCTGGTCAGCAAGCGAAGAGGGAACTTGCTGCCCAGGAAGTCTCGGTGCATGATCAGGGCAGAAGAGCTCTCTGCACTCCCCAGGGAGCATCTACAGCTGCACAGAGGACCTCGTGCTCCGCTGCCTGCGCAGAAGTGTCGGTGCACAGCTGATACCCAGTGCTGCCGGCAGCAAAACGTGTCTGCTTTTCGAATGCTTCCCCTGAGCCTTGAGTAAAACTACCCGAGCCTTTCCTGGGAGACCTGGGGAAAATAATTTGCTCCACCGGCTTTCTTAAGCGTGAAGACTTCCTTCTCACTCTTCCCACTCAGAAAAGATTAACACAAGGATTTATAGGAAAAAAAAAAAAACCCAAACAAAACAAGGGGGCTAGAAGAAACAGTGCATTGATTCAACTCGGAGCCTGTTAGATAAAATTCTGCCCCCCCAGGTATCCTGGGGGGGGGGGGGGGATATTTACCATCTCCTTATGGCTTCAGTCAGCAGGACAACACATTCTAGCATTCCCCGTTCCTCTCCTCTTTTGTACCCCGTTAACAATTTGCTGTAAGGGTGCGGTGAAAACCACCATTTTTATCCCTTGCACAAAATCTGCTTAGGGCGTGACCTTATCCAACCGGATAAAGATTGACGGGAGTTGGGCACTGGGAGCCACAGCTGCAGTCGGAATGAGATCATCGTTTTCAGCCAGCTGAAAACTGCCTTTGCTTCAGTCTAATGCTCCAAACACGCTCAGAAACCCCAAATCTGCCAGTCTAACAAATTCTGTTCCAAATAATTTTGTTTCTCTTTGCTCCTACCCAAAGATCAGTATCACATTTCCCCGATAGTTTATTATAACATCAGGCAATGCGTATAGGCTGACAGGAATCCTAATTTGATACTGCATTTCAGAGAACTGATACAAGTTTTTTTGGCTTCTTTTACCTAGAATGCCTGCGCTCTGCAGGTTCGCTCGTGTGCCTTGCGTGGCATAGCTGTACCCACAGACTCTTCCAGGAACAGCCACACCATTCACCCAACTTGCTTTTCTTCTCGTATGTTATTTGACTTCCACCTGCTTTTAATGGCACGCACACGGGTGACTTCAGTTCTACCTGTTACAAAAGCCCGCTCCGATGGCAATCGTTAATAACTTTGCATACGATGCTCTCATCTGAAAGTTTGACTTGTCCTGGATTTGCACCTGTGCCAAGCTGAGTGTAAAACACTACCAGATCAAGATTTTGCCTTTTTAGAGATGATGTTATACCAGCAGGATTATCTGCAAAAAACTAACAACAAACAGACAGCCTGCTAAAACCGAAACAAAGCTAAAATTTATTGTTTGTGAAGTTTTAAGATGTGCTTTGGGCATTTTTCAACTTTGTTTCTTTTATTTCAAGGGCTAGAAAATTATTTTCATATAAGAAATTAAAATATTGAAGCTCAAATCATTATCCAGTCTTATTCTTCATGATCATGGGTTTTAAGAGCATATCTGAATGTTGTGAGACTTAGAATCAGTTTGTGATTAGCAAATTAACATTCATTTTCAGAAGTCGCTTTTTCACAAGTACTAACAAAAGGCAGTAGAAATCAAGAATCTTTTTTGCTCCTTATCCA